CCCCCGCATTATAAGGAATAATTACGGAGAGCTCGGCTCTTAGAGGGTGATGCCAACGAGCGTGAACCCGACCTGGGTGTAGATGGTCAGGGAACACGATGCCACGTGTGATGTTACGCATGCAACGTCTCACCCCCCCCCCCACCTCGCCCCTTAGACAAGAACAGGCTGTACGTAGCAGGGGCAAGTGTGGTTAGCGAGCACCTATTAATGCCGGCAAGGGTGCATGGCGGAGAGTGTGTGGTGGTGGTGGTGGGGGTGGCGGAGGTGGTGACGGTGGCAGTGGTGGTGGCGGTGGCGGTGGTGGGGGTGGCGGTGGTGGGGGTGGTGGTGGGGGTGGCGGTGGGGGTGGCGGTGGTGGGGGTGGTGGCGGTGGTGGGGGTGGCGGTGGCGTTGGTGGCGGTGGTGGGGGTGGCGGTGGGGGTGGCGGTGGTGGGGGTGGTGGCGGTGGTGGGGGTGGCGGTGGCGGTGGCGGTGGTGGGGGTGGCGGTGGGGGTGGCGGTGGTGGGGGTGGTGGCGGTGGTGGGGGTGGCGGTGGCGTTGGTGGCGGTGGTGGGGGTGGTGGTGGCGGTGGTGGCGGTGGTGGTGGGGGTGGTGGCGGTGGTGGCGGTGACGGCGGTGGCCGCGGTGGCGGTGGTGGCGGTGGTGGCGGTGGTGGTGGCGGTGGTGGCGGTGGTGGTGGCGGTGGTGGTGGTGATGAGGGTGGTGGTGGCGGAGGTGGTGGTGGTGGTGGCGGTGGTGGCAGTGAGGCAAGGACCACAATCATACGGCCTCCGTTGGTTTCTGATACCCCCCCACCCAACAATTCTGATGTCTACATACTGCACCAGGTAGTAATTTAAGGCTGCGTCGACCTAGAGGAGACCCAAGACCGGTTTAAATACGTATAGCTTACACAAAGACAGAGACACATTTTTCCCGTATAGCCTTAACAGACTGTAGGGACAAGTGCTGTTGGCGAGCACCTATGAAGGCCGGCACGGCACACGAGGGGGTGGGTGGCCAGCACCACGCCCGGCCGCCTTTGTCTCCCCAGTTGCGATGTTTGCACACCGCACCAGGTACTCATTTGAGGCTGAATCCGAACTAGACGATACCCAAGATGAGCTTAAATAAATATGTAGCTGACACACACTCATACACACGCGTGTGAGTGGAAGATCAATTAATGCGCTGCACCTACCTGGCGACCCGGGTTCGATTCCCGCTCACGGCCAACATCAGTGACGATTATCTGAGCCGGTCTTGAGCTTCCCCTAATGGCTCACCCACCCCCTCGTGTGACGTGTCGGCTTTCATAGGTGCTCGCTAACAGCACTTGCCCCAACAGTCTGTTACAGGCTATTCGATTGCTGCAGCAGTACACACCGTTTATGGCTTGCCGGGTGTGTTCGCTCACAGCGCTATGAATCCGGCCACCTGAGTTCGAATCCAGGCCACGGCTGCCATCAATAGCGAGTCAATGATCTGAATTGGGCCAACCCACCCACCCCCCCCATCGTTCACCAAACCCGCACTGAACAGCGTGGTGAAGTATGATCAAACAATCCCACAAACGCCGGGAGAGACCTCCTCCTTAAGCGTACTGTCAAAGGAATATTCATTGTAAATATGCATGGCTTTAGTTTATGATACATTCGTTTAGATCGTATACAAATGTTCAACACTCACACGTGTTTGATTGCCTATGGCGTGCAGCACTCTAAACTAAACTGTAAACTATTTTTTAAACGTTTTTGGGTTTAGATCGCGTTATTTATAAATGTGTCGTAACCCTCCAACACCCGACACGGCCAATCAGCAAAAAAGTGTCGCGTTGACAATTTACAATTTTTGAAACCACAACATGTACAATTTGTGAGTACTCAAAAATTGTAAATGTTGTGGTTTCACTCTTCAACACACCGGTGGGCTAGAGCAGTGAACTATTTTGTCTTTTGTCAACGTGACACTTTTTTTGCTGATTGGCCGTGTCGGGTGGTGGAGGGTTACGACACATTTATAAATAACGCGATCTAAACCCAACAACGTTTATTATGAATAATATTGGTCGCGAAAGCCTGCTACGTGTTAAACTGTAAACTATTTTATTGTTGCTAGGAAAGGCTCACTGAGCTGCATGAACTCCCTTTCAGAAGTGGCTTGTGACATGGAAATTGACAGCATCCAGATACCCCCCAAACGCAAACTCCAAATATTCAGCAGCAGCAGGCGTCATAGATCGAACCCAGGACCTCCTGCATACCAGGCGAGGTAGTTAACATCTCGCCAAAGCGGCACCCCTAACTCTAACGGGGTGTGCAGTTGCGTGCCTCCACTCACCTCTGCCCAAGGCAGCCAACAAGTCGACCGAAACGTCGGACGTTTACAATCTCGGCGCCTGCTTTAGCTCACGCAGCTTCAATGGTTTAAAAACGAATCACTGCCGGGGCTTTGCGTGTGCGTGAGAGATGATAAAAGATCCGATTGCTTGGTCCGTATCATCGGTGTTGGGTGCGAGGCTGGTGACGGAACGTCAGTCAAAGGATGCAAACTAGATCGGAGAGAGAAAATCGACGAAAGGTCACCCACGCAACACCGCGGGGGGTGATGGATCGTGCCCTAGCATCGCGTGACAGCCAGGGATGACGACGAATATCGTGATGCCTTCATTCAGCAGTGGATAGACCATGGCCAATTATGATTACTACAGCGGTGGTGTTACTACTACAACTACTACCACCATCATCATAATACACTGTAGGTTTTAATCTCCCACCGTGATCTGGATAAGCTGGGATCAGCCAGATCAGCACCTCAAGATATTGGACAGTGACTACAATACAGGACAGTGGCTACAGGACAGTGACTACACTACAGGACAGTGACTACACTACATGACAGTGACTACACTAAAGTGACTACACTACAGGACAGTGTCTACAGGACAGTCTCTACACTACAGGACAGTGTCTACACTACAGGACAGTGACTACACTACAGGACAGTGTCTACAGGACAGTGTCTACACTACAGGACAGTCTCTACACTACAGGACAGTGACTACACTACAGGACAGTCTCTACACTACAGGACAGTGACTACAGGACAGTATCTACACTACAGGACAGTGACTACACTACAGGACAGTGACTACAGGACAGGACAGTCTTTACACTACAGGACAGTGACTACACTACAGGACAGTCACTACACTACAGAACAGTGTGTACACTACAGGACAGTCTCTACACTACAGGACAGTGACTACAGGACAGTGTCTACACTACAGGACAGTCTCTACATTACAGGACAGTGTCTACACTACAGGACAGTGTCTACACTACAGGACAGTCTCTAAACTACAGGACAGTGACTAGACTACAGGACAGTGTCTACACTACAGGACAGTCTCTACAGGACAGTGTCTACACAACAGGACAGTGTCTAAACTACAGGACAGTGACTACACTACAGGACAGTGACTACACTACAGGACAGTGTCTACAGGACAGTGTCTACACTACAGGACAGTGTCCACACTACAGGACAGTAACTACAGGACAGTGTCTACAGGACAGTCTCTACACAACAGGACAGTGACTACACTACAGGACAGTGTCTACACTACAGGACAGTGTCTACAGGACAGTCTCTACACTACAGGACAGTGTCTACACTGCAGGACAGTGTCTACACTACAGGACAGTGGCTACAGGACAGTGACTACACTACAGGACAGTGTCTACACTACAGGACAGTCTCTACACTACAGGACAGTGACTACACTACAGGACAGTGACTACACTACAGGACAGTGAATACAGGACAGTGACTACACTACATGACAGTGACTACACTACAGGACAGTGACTACACTACAGGACAGTGACTACACTACAGGACAGTGTCTACACTACAGGTCAGTCTCTACAGGACAGTGTCTACACTACAGGACAGTGTCTACACTACAGGTCAGTGACGACACTACAGGACAGTGTCTACACTACAGGTCAGTCTCTACAGGACAGTGTCTACACTACAGGACAGTCTCTACACTACAGGACAGTGACGACACTACAGGACAGTGTCTACAGAACAGTGTCTACACTACAGGACAGTGTCTACACTACAGGACAGTGTCTACACTACAGGACAGTGACTACACTACAGGACAGTCTCTACACTACAGGACAGTGTCTACACTACAGGACAGTGACTACACTACAGGACAGTCTCTACACTACAGGACAGTGACTACACTACAGGACAGTGACTACACTACAGGACAGTGTCTACACTACAGGACAGTGTCTACACTACAGGACAGTGACTACACTACAGGACAGTCTCTACACTACAGAACAGTCTCTACACTACAGGACAGTGACTACACTACAGGACAGTCTCTACACTACAGGACAGTCTCTACACTACAGGACAGTCACTACAGGACAGTCTCTACACTACAGGACAGTATCTACAGGACAGTGTCTACACTACAGGACAGTCTCTACACTACAGGACAGTTTCTACACTACAGGACAGTCTCTACAGGACAGTCTCTACACTACAGGACAGTATCTACACTACAGGACAGTCTCTACAGGACAGTGACTACACTACAGGACAGTGACTACACTACAGGACAGTGTCTACACTACAGGACAGTCTCTACAGGACAGTGTCTACACTACAGGACAGTCTCTACACTACAGGACAGTCTCTACACTACAGGACAGTCTCTACAGGACAGTGTCTACACTACAGGACAGTGTCTACACTACAAGACACTGTCTACACTACAGGACAGTGACTACACTACAGGACAGTCTCTACACTACAGGACAGTGTCTACACTACAGGACAGTCTCTACACTACAAGACACTGTCTACACTACAGGACAGTGTCTACACTACAGGACAGTCTCTACATGAGTGTAAATCCCCGATGTCCCGGTGATGATTGGTGACCCAGAGCTGCCTTCATGATCCATTCATGTGCGCGAACATTCACTCACACGTGGCGCTGTCATCCTCTTCCTCGCTGCTGCTGCTCTTGCGGATGCTGCTGCTGCTGATGATGGTACTGCTGCTGTTGCTGATGCTGATGATGCTGCTGCTCTTGCTGATGATGCTGCTGCTGATGCTGCTGCTCTTGCTGATGATGCTGCTGCTCTTGCTGATGATTATGCTGCTGATGATGGCGATGCTGCTGCTGTTGCTGATGATGCTGCTCTTGCTGATGGTGATGCTGCTACAGCTGCTGCTGATGATGATGCTGCTGCTGTTGCTGATGATGGTGATGCTGATGATGGTGATGCTGATACTGCTGCTGCTACTGCTGATGATGCTGCTACTGCTGCTGTTGCTGCTGCTGATGATGGTGATGCTGCTGCTACTGCTGATGATGCTGCTACTGCTGCTGTTGCTGCTGCTGATGATGGTGATGCTGCTGCTGCTACTGCTGATGATGCTGCTGCTGCTGATGCTGCTACTGCTGCTGCTGCTGATGATGATGGTGATGCTGCTGTTGCTGCTGATGCTGCTGCTGTTGCTTCTGCTGATGATGCTGCTGCTACTGCTGATGATGATGATTCTGACGGTGTCGATATCGCTTGTGCTTCCGCTTTCGATGGCGCTGTAGCTGCTGGTCACCGCTTATTGCGCTGTTGACAACGCCGATGCTGATGATGATGACGCCGTGGTGCCAACGCCGTTGCTGCTGTTGGCGATGCTGTCCAGCTGCTGCTGCTGCTGCTGCTGCTGCTAAAGCTGTTGGTTCTGTGGTTGAGGCAGCTGTTGTCGATGTCGCTTCTGCTGTTTACTTCTGCCGATCTTTGCCGTTACCCGCGGTGACGATCCTCATTCAGTGCCCTCCGTGGTGCCGCCGCTGATGATGCATCGTCGATTCTCTCGGTCGCATCGCTGTCCGCACTTTGCTGACGCGGCTGCTGCTTGTGATGATGATGCTGCTGCTGTTGTTCGTCGCGCCAGGCGATGCCGATGGTGCTGTCCACGAAGCTTCGGGCTATATCACTCGGCAGATGTCCTCTGTCTTGTGCCACGGGAGTTCTTGTTCCATTCGCTCCTCCACCGCCACCGCCTCGGATCTCCTCCTCTAGACGCGCTCACAACTTCGCTTTCACGCCGCCTCTCGTATCGCGTCCACCTCCCTAGCGGCCGTCAGTCAGCTCGTTCATCCATCCTCGCCCAGCCCCTTTGCCCGCCTCTCGTGGGGCGATTTTGAGACACGCGAGCGCCCGTCAACAACAACAACAGCAGCAGCAGCAACAACAACAACACAAACAGACGCCAACGGAGAGCACGACGAGCGTGGCAGTCGGAAAACGTCAGTAGAGCAGCCACCCCCCGTGCTGTGCCGGAGCACCACAGCCTGGACATGCGTGTGTCACTCCGATCGCGTGCTCGGAGGTTCCTGCTGATGAGGAGCGAGAGACAGAGAGGGAGCGAGAGACGGAGATGGAGCAAGAGAGACAGAGAGAGGGAGCGAGAGACAGAGATGGAGCAAGAGAGAGAGAGAGCGCACGAGGGAGCGAGTGATCGGGCGATGCGCCGCAACTCTGCCGATCTTGTTGAGCTGGCGTCGTGGATAAAGGGTATTCCACCTCCTCCTCCCCTCCCTCCGCTTCCTCCTCCCCGCGTCTCCCCAAACCGGACCCCCCCTACACCCAATCCCATCTACCACCCCTCCCCCCCCAACATTCTCGTACCCTCCCCTCGCCGCTAGCACCACCTCCTCCTCCCTCCTACAATTACCACACTCACCATCCACCAGACACCCCACCCCACTCCCTTGCCCTCCTCCCCGGCTCACCCTACGATTCTCCCCCACCCTCTCTCGCTCTCTCCCACCAACATTCTCGCTCTCTCTCTATCTCTCTCTCCGTGGGCGAGTGTTAGCCTCGCATCCATGGTTACAGCAGCCCCAGAAACACTGCTCGCACGCGCACGCACGCGCGCTCGCACGCGCCCAGAGAGAGGGAGATTGTGTCCGAGGAGCAATCACTCCAAATTAAATCATTAGGTACATTAGGTATTCCCTCCATTCCTATAGCGGCGAGGTTTTCACAGTGGTGCTTTTGTTGCACAGATTGGTACAGGGGGTTTGCCAGTTGTCTTGCAGTAGGGGGCGATGCTGATGTGTGTGGTTTTTTTCGCGACGTGATATATTTCGTTTTCTATCTTTCTTACAATTTTTTGCCAAATTCGGATCCGTGTACGCGGGCACACAATTTGCCTATTTTGTTGTTGTTGTTTTGGGTTTAGAACAACTTCACTCCATCTCACGCCAGCTGTTCACGGTTAATTACGCGCGCTGTATTAACCAGGGTCGTTCCGCTTGGTTCGAAACGCGAACCTCTACAGACAAACAAACAAAAAGTTACAGCTTGGCCGTGTCACGAAGCGGTCAATGTAGCGCAGCGGGTAGAATATTGGGCTTCACCCATAATCAACAACCATCATCATCATCATTAGCAGCAGCATCATCATCATACGAAGCATTATTGATTGGGATGAACCTATCATCGTGAATGCGCTAATCGTGCCCTATCTAAGGTGAGCGTAAGATTGTCAGTACAGCAATTGAGTAATTATGAAATCTATTTGTACGGAGGCACGTGTTTTAGTCTTGAGACTCACTTAGGCTTGCCTGGATAAAAGAATATACATTTCATTAAGACCAAAAACAACCACCAATTGCCACTAAGTTGCGGTGACATCATCACGGCGCTTGTGCCAGGCTAGGTGCACTTTAAGGTAACGTGAAGTGTCGAACACTCGCTGGCAGGATGTCACGGGACAGTCCCAGGTGTCATACGTTGACTGACTGAGATGACTGCCAGATGCATCAACTGTGCCCTCTAGTGTGCCAACATTATGTCCACCACCTCTACCACCAGCATCATCATCTTTGTTCATCATTCTTATCACAATCTCTCTCAAAGGGATCGGTAAATGAGAACACAACACCCAAAGGGTTCGCTCCTACTCGATGGGAATTTAAAGGTGGTTTAACCGATAAGGACTACACTGCCCCCCGTGATGGGAACGCGGGCATTTCCACCACTTGTTCAACGCCCTTAGCGGAGATGATCACCCAAACGTGTCTATTGGGACAGTTCGTCTAAACAATTCCCACGCACTCCATGGCCGAGTGTGTTCAGCACGTTTGCATGGACGTCCCTACTCAAGTTCAAGTTAATGTATTAGGTATAGCCCTGTGAGCCATTCGGCTCTTGAATCGGGTGCAACCGCAACAAACAAAAAACAAAAACATGATCAAAAACATCTGAAAGTGAATATGTGTACTCGTGTGCTGCACCCATATATTTAGACCCAGTGTCCTACAGCCACATTAAGTCTGAGCACTGAACACCACCCACCTCCACCCTCAGCACGCTCGTCAGCAGTTACCAAATTAAATAAATCAAGATATAATCGGCGACGTTTCGGGCAATGGCTCATTCTGCATAGCATCATCCCCCACCCCCGCTCCCCACACCAATTCCGGCAGAATAATGACCACTTTCGGGCGCTGTTATTGAATCACCTTGGGCCTCGCCTGTTACAGCTGTTAGCTGAAGCCTCCCCTCGGATGGGAAAATACAAACAAAGCACAGCTGGGCAATTGAAATGTGATGGCACGTACGTATAGTTGACTTTCTTTCGCACCGTACACAGCCAACCGTGCTTGTCGGAGGTGCTGATCAATGTGAGATGTCAGGCGTTGGGGATGAGGCGTGGTGATGATGATGATGATGTTGTTGGGAGATGCCAGGGGGCGTTTAAACGTCCGGTCTCCTCCTTAATCGACGTCGTTGTGATAGAAAAGCAGGCGCGCTGGAATAATTGCGTTTCATTTACGATTCACAGAGTTCCCTTTCTTCTCCCCCAGTCTCTCAACACAATCACTAATTTGTGTTCAAACAATCACCGGGTATTGTGTGCGTGTGTGTGTGTATGTGGTGGGGTGTGTGTGTGTGGTGGTGGTGGTGTCTGGCGGCGCTTGTGTCGTGTGTGTGTGTGTGAGAGTTACTATTAGCATACGCTAATACCACAACAGGGCCTCGTTCCAAAGCAGATGCGCGCTAATAATTTAAAATTCATTGCGTTCGCCAGCTTTTGGGATTGTTTGACCCAGTTCCATATAGTGCCCCCCATCCCCCCTCCCCACCCCACCCTCCCCCCCCCCCGAGGAGTAGTCTATGCTCGTCGTACGTCGTGTGGCAGATGTTGCACTGTGGTCGCCCGCTCGTCTTGAGGCAAGCGCGATGGTTTTCATCTCCTTCTCAACGCCTCCGCGCGTCTTAATATTTTGTTAAACGAAGCCCCTGTGAATTGGGCGGCACTTGATTTGCCGCTTTGTTTTAACAAGGCCGGGTGAATTGAGATGAGAAGAAAAAAAAAGCCGCACCTGACGAAACGGGAAACATTTCATAAACGAAATTGTCCTCGAAAATCAAAGCTAATGCGGCACAGTTTGGGATTTGGGTCAGTGGCAGATTGTTCATTCTCTCTCTGCGTGGCCCCGGAGTTGTTTCGAATTCGTTTTCTACACCCAGCCCTCCGTGCTGTCGACAACCTTGCCCCCCTGTGGCAGCCCCCCCCCCACCACTCCGCCCAGACCGACTTTCTCTCCGCCTCTGCCTACTACGCAAGACGCTGTCCCTGGTGCTGATTAAAAAAAAACTACTTTTTATTTTAGCAGCTAAGGCCGATAGAGCTATTATAGCTCTTTTTTTCAGAAGCGACCTGGCCACAAATGATAGATTTGAAGCTTTCGTGACTGCAAGGATTCATACTCTTAAGTTTTTTTCGGTAAAGTCATGTAGGTAAAAATAAATAATAAAAATAATGAAAGTAATAATAGAAATAAAATAATAAATCACGACGTTTCCGAGGCAACACAAGTCTCCGTCATCAGGTGGGACCGTCACAGCTAAATTTACTGTATCTCATTTAAGTGATACATTTACTGTATCACTTGATACACTTGATACAGTAAATTTAGCTGTGACGGTCTCACCTGATGAAGGAGACTTGTGTTGCCTCCAAAACGTCGTGATTTATTATTTTATTTAAATTATTATTTCTAATATTTTTATCATTTATTTTCACCTACGTGACTTTACCGACCAAAACCTAAGAGCACAAATGATAGCTTAACGAAGTGGCTTATCATCACATGTTAACGTATAGCAAACGCATACTCTAAACGCACAATGATTCTAAATTTAGACGGGAAAACCGGAGGACTCGGGGAGAAATCAACGCGACCACCGAGAGAGAACATGCAAACTTCAAATGTACAGACGTCAGGGACGCAATGGGGTGTTCTCACTTTAATCTAAATTGTCCTATGGTTGTTATTGTTTGACTTGCATCACACTGGGATTTTTGCACACAGCGTTGTAATTAGGTGTTTTATTTTCTGGAAGATTTGCTGGTTTACCCAGGATGTTTCTGTTGCGCGTCGTCGCTTTCAGATGTCCTCTGTTCATATTTTGTTTGTGGCGGTTGCACCCGACTCAAGAGCCGCATGGCTCACAGGGCTACACCTAATAAATGAAACTTGAAACTTGAACTATTAGTTTTTTCGGTAAAGTCACGTAGGTAAAAAATGAAATAAAAATTA